GGGGGGATTGAGTAAAAACAAAAAAGCAAACTACAATATTAAAACAGTAGCTAAAGCAGATCCTTTGTAAATGATGTCCTACACTGCGTGGAAATGAAGGTAATCTTGATTGATTATATGATTCTTTAATTTTCTGTAGAGGTTTTGTTTTTCTCAAAGATACAGCTTCAATGATGAAGAATGACTGTAACAGTTTATTCATATTCAATTTATCTCGCTTTTTTAAAAATATTTTGACGTTGTGACGTCACCGTGAGATCGTGTCAAGAAAGTCTGATATCTTTGATGATAACGTAATAAAATTTAGTCAAACTTGGCATGTTTACACTGTAATGGGTGCATCTGCAAGTGAACAGTTCGGATTATTTATGTTTTGCCATAACAAATAATTAGTCCCCACTCCTTACTCGTTTAGCTTCTCTTCTTTTTTACAAGTTCCTCCTGTAGACTTTAGTTTACTCGTTTCAATGGTTTACACAGGGCTGTAAATACTCGTTACAATTGTAACGCGTTACTGTGTACTCGTTACATTTAAAGTAATTTTAACCTCTAATTAATTACGTTTTTAGAAATGTAACGAAAAACGTAATTAATTACAAAAGCAAGGAACGTGTTCCTTTTCCAGGGAGCAAGTTGAAAATTCCTTTTCTTATTTTGTTAAAAGTGAGAAATAAAAATACAACGTTACAACAAAAATTCAGAAAAATGGCTGAAATAATTTTCAACGAGATCACTGCACATGACATGATAGCCTACATGAAGTACTATTTAATTTATTGCGAAAGTGGACCACAATTTGTTCCGAGGCTCAGAGCGCCAAATATTGGCAAATAAAGTTTTAAGAGTTTACATGCTTCGATTTGCATGTAAAATTTTTAATATATTGAAATATCATCTTGATAAATTCTTGCAAATTTCATAGTTTATGCCGTTTTTATTTACAACTGCTGTTTAAGATATTATAATATATATAGTAACAATTTGCCGGTAGAGGAGTTTGTAATTAATTCCTTTTTTCCGCAGTAACTTTTTCATTGTACTTAATTACATTTTAGAACAAGTAATTGTAATCAGGAATTTATTACATTTTAAAGCAAGTAATTGTAATTGGAATTAATTCCTTTTTCAGTGGTAATCTTGCAGCCCTGGGTTTACAATTATCACAACACCTATTAATGCACCAATTCGTTAAGCAAATATTCTAGGACAATTAAGAAAACAACTATGACATACACAATGTTGTGGGAGAAGGGTTGTCGAGGAGAAATGCTCCGATTATACTTTAAACTGTGGCCAAGTGTCGCCCCACAGACTCTCTATTACAGCAATATGATTATGATATAATTATATGTCCTCAGGGGGTTGTGGTTCCCCCATGTTGGACTTTACCCAAGGGGTAGTAGATCCCCGAGATGGGCATCTTAAATGTCCAAGGGGTAGTAGATCCCTGTGATGGTCATTGTTTACTTTAATGTCCAAGGGGTAGTAGATCCCCGTGATGGTCATTGTTTACTTTACAATACACTGTATAATACATTGATTTGTGTGAGTCTATGGGGTTGAGGGTGACCTTTGGGAGCACTCTATCCCCAAACAACCAAATATTTTTATTTTTACAACCAGACTTGCAAAGTCAATTCCCATACTGTATATTACAAAATATAGATGTGCCTGTAATAACATATTAACCAGTAAACTACTCGATAATACTTTATCTAGAACACTACATGAATTCACGATGAATTGCATTTCATGTGAATCTTGATGACGGATTGCATATCAAAACAATATTTACAGATTTTTATTTATTATGTGATACAAGTTATGATATAGTGGTGCAAAATCCTTGAAGGGTGGGATGGGTGGTAATTTTGAAGTACTTTGCCGCAGAGGTCATACAATTTTGCTTGCAAGTGACACAATGAGGCTTACTGATCCAAGCAGGAAACTATGCAGACGAAGAGGTGAAACCCGATTGGTCTATTTTCCCGCACGCATGGGAAGAGATTTGACAATGGTTTGTTGTTAATTCAGCCTTTGCGCTTTGCACGTGTATGATCACACGATTCACAGATTGACCTTTGTACCAGACCTTTGTACTCCAGGAGACTTTGCACAACTTTACTCTTGTCCTAACGCTTGTTTCATTAACTTAAGTTTATAATGCTATGGGCATGTATAAACTTGCTTTAATGCACCAATTCGTTAAGCAAATATTCTAGGACAATTAAGAAAACAACTATGACATACACAATGTTGTGGGAGAAGGGTTGTCCAGGAGAAATGCTCCGATTATACTTTAAACTGTGGCCAAGTGTCGCCCCACAGACTCACTATTACAGCAATATCACAGAATAAAGAACAGTAACAGAAGGGCCACTCAGCGATGCAACGTGTCCGCGTTTTTTTATGCAAAAATATGCAGTTTACTGGCCAGAAGGCGGAGCAACCAGCCAGTACAGCGTGTTTATTGGCCAGAAAATGTTATTGACTGGCTAGGAAAATGGCGGCCAACATGCGTAATGCGACATGCGCGAGGACAGAAACATCAAAGCTTCCGACGTAAGTGGCCCTTCTATATGGATCTTTATTCTATGGCAATATGATTATGATATAATTATATGTCCTCAGGGGGTTGTGGTTCCCCATGTTGGACTTTACCCAAGGGGTAGTAGATCCCCGAGATGGGCATCTTAAATGTCCAAGGGGTAGTAGATCCCCGTGATGGTCATTGTTTACTTTAATGTCCAAGGGGTAGTAGATCCCCGTGATGGTCATTGTTTACTTTAATGTCCAAGGGGTAGTAAATCCCCGTGATGGTCATTGTTTACTTTAATGTCCAAGGGGTAGTAGATCCCCGTGATGGTCATTGTTTACTTTAATGTCCAAGGGGTAGTAGATCCCCGTGATGGTCATTGTTTACTTTAATGTCCAAGGGGTAGTAGATCCCCGTGATGGTCATTGTTTACTTTACAATACACTGTATAATACATTGATTTGTGTGAGTCTATGGGGTTGAGGGTGACCTTTGGGAGCACTCTATCCCCACAAATACACAGCATGTGTATTCCCCATAGACGAAAAAACCCAACTCCCACCACAACTGTAATCGTATAGAAGACAGATGATCTTTATGCTTTTCGAAGACATATTGTCTATATTTCTCTTTCGACACACTTTAAATAATTAATTAATTAAAATCATGTTATATGCAAATATAATTTTTTTTTTTTATTATTTTTTTTTTTTAAAAAGTTGATCGTAAGACATATATTTGAGCATTACCATCACTCATACTACAGCTGGAACATCAGGGAGGCCAGGAAAAACCTGCAATATCTTTACAGGAAACCTGGATGGGGCCAAGACAACCAGCAGCTTCCCCACAAAGCTTCTATCTTACAAGTGCTTGATTGGAGGGTTGGTAACACGACAAACAAAGCTCACCATCATTTTTTTTTTCCTTACGATTTATTTATTTTTAATGTCAATGTGTTCGATAGCAATTTTGCAAATGTATTTGTTAACCCCACTTATTTTATTTGAATTATGATTGGTGGAACTTGACATAATGTAATTCTCGAATTATATGACTTTAATCTCAGGAAAATAGCTTGTTCAATATTTTAAAATAGCAGGATCAAAATGCAATTCAGGTGTTTATAACCAAGTGTTGTGATTGAACATGCAATCATGCATGCATGAGAGTAGCAGAAATTGTAAGAATATGTATTTGGTAGACTAAAAAGATCATGCAGTATAGTGATAAGACATTAATGAATTTTCATGAGTAACCAATATTTCATGACATCCAACTTGCCGATTTATCGCAAATGTAGATAAAGTAGATCTTAAATTTCTCTCACACATGAACTTGATTTCCTATGTTGTGCCCAGTAAGGTATTGATAATGTATACGGGCCAAATTAGTGAATAGTGTTTGTTTATAACTTTTATTAACGAGTGCTCTGAAACAGCTAGAAAGGAAGTTTTATATAATCTACTTTTGAATGACTGAAACAGTTTAATGTGACGCTTTATTGAAACCCAATCGCCGAATCAGAGGCCCAATCTGGCCGGTTAATAACCTCAAGATGGTAATAAAATTGACATTGAAATCGAAATTGAAATACAGATCGATTTAGCGTGAATAGACGATACATTTGACGTTCGACAATTACTATACCCGAATTCTGTGATGAAATAGATGAAGTTAAAGCATTTGGTTTGAAAAGCGAAATACGAAGCAAACGTGTGAATTCACCGCATACTTACGCACCAAATGCATGTGCATACATATACATTGATATACGAATGATAACAAATGACACTTGTTGAATTCGTGTTTAGCCTCTCGATCTTGTTATAATTCCCCCAGCGGCGGCTTCATTTAACTTCATCGGTTGAGCCAACGTATTCCTTTGTCCACCAGAAAGGTAAAAGCGCTTGACCACGGTAGAGTTATACTTGAATAGACTGCGTCTCACTGAATCACACATCGATACTTGAGCCAAGGTATTCCTTTGTCCACCAGAAGAGTAAAAGCGCTTGCCCGCGGCAGAGTTATATTTGAATAAACATCGTCTCACTGAATCATACATCAATACATGAGCCAATGTATTCCTTTGTCCACCAGAAGAGTAAAGTGGTTGCTCGCGGCAGAGTTATATTTGACTGATAAACTGCGTCTCACTGAATTATACATCAATACTTTCAAGAGCCAACGTATTCCTTTGTCCACCAGAAGAGTAAAAGCGCTTGCCCGCGGCAGAGGCGCAGAGCTATATTTCAATAAACTGCGTCTCACTGAATAATACTGTGTTACTGACCGTTGTTTTATATCCACGAAATATCTTTCCAAAAGTATAATTTTGAAGCACATTGCCGCAGAGGTCATACAATTTTGCTTGCAAGTGACACAATGAGGCTTACTGATCCAAGCAGGAAACTATGCAGACGAAGAGGTGAAACCCGATTGGTCTATTTTCCCGCACGCATGGGAAGAGATTTGACAATGGTTTGTTGTTAATTCAGCCTTGCTCTTTGCACGTGTATGATCACACGATTCACAGATTGACCTTTGTACCAGACCTTTGTACTCCAGGAGACTTTGCACAACTTTACTCTTGTCCTAACGCTTGTTTCATTAACTTAAGTTTATAATGCTATGGGCATGTATAAACTTGCTTGAATACTATCGTAATAAGCGGAAATTGCAGAAATTATTTCGTTGGAAATGGTGGAAACGAACACCTCGGGGAAACATCTGCTCAACCTCGTACCCAGGGCCTTTGCGCGGTTCAGAGGCTCTGGTACGGGAAGCAAAGGCCCTGGTAAATACTGGTCACGTGTGTCCAAAAATATTGGACATTTTTGTAACCTGGCCTTATTAAAGTCATGTCATCCCGGGGGGGATGAACAATTGAACATTGCAATGGGCGAACTAAATTTTAAAAATACATATTTTGCCTTTAATTTTTAAAATATGAATGTATAACAAGTGTTTTAAAATTCAAATGTTAAAACAACAGGCAGCAGATTTTAAGCTTGTTTTTATTTTGATGGAAATTTTAAACTGGATTTTGAATGCTATAAAGATGAAATGCAGTATATTCGAGGTACGATTTTATGATGCATATTATATAAAAATTATATTCTCATATATTTATCAGTTTATATATCCTAAATTCCAGCAGATTTGTGGCTGTCTGTTTGTATAATTAGTTTTCTTCGTCTAATTATTCCTCCATCTTTCGCTTTTGGACAATAAACCCTCCTTCATGCCTGATACATTTTTTTGTTATCTGCATCCTTTACTAAAATCAAAATCTTCTGTACGTCCCAGCTTGCTCAGAAAATATTCAGTCTTTCATAACTGGAGTTCTCTTTGACATGTAAAATCGTCAAGCTGCACCCTCAATAAAATACTTATTTAACTGGCTGACTATTATAGTTGTCAAAAGTTCATAAATGAATACATGCAAGAATTACAAATTAACTGCCCTCATTCCAACCATTGGTTTCTGACTCATCCAATAAAAGCTTAACAGAATAGTACGATGATAATAGAAAAGTGTGAAAATGCCAACCTTACCCAGTACCTAACTTTCTGTACGTGACAAGAAAATTAGATAAATACATTAATTTTGCAGTCAGGTATTCTTTTCTTTATCGCCTCAATACTCTGGTTTATGATTTTTATGTTTAATTTTAAAAAATTCCAATGGCCAACATACATTCTACTGGAGAAAATGTTCCCCCACCTCTTGCCATAAATCTCAATAGCCCCCAATTTTAGTATTTTTCCCATCCAAAGGAGACAAATACGGCATGCTTTGTTATTTTTCTCTGTTCAACACCAGACAATTTTACTTGTCAAGGGTACTGTAAGGTTAAGTAAATAATAAAAAGTGGCTGGATATTCTATACTTGCTCCATATAATGGGTCATTCCAGAAAACATCCATACCACCCCCACAGAGGAAATAGGAAGTTAACCCCCTACCCCCTTCGGATGTCCTAATACACTTACTATTATCAGAAACAATTTTTTCTCCTCTCCCCCTCTGGACGGCAGAAATTTCCTCCATGGGGGAGTATGGATCTTTTCTGTAACGACCCAATTGGACTTTGGTTGTGAGCAAAATGTAAAAAGACAATTACCAGTAACCAGTATTAACTTACTACATCCCTATTATTTACCTTAGTTGCAGAGCAGTTGTGCTGTTACCAATACAGCAGAATGTGGTTTCAAATGACAGTCATTTTATGGCAATGATATTCCAGTAAGACATTGGTCATTTGTTTCTGTTTTAGTATTAGATCAAAAAGGTGGTTGCAGGTATTCAGATCCTGGGTGCTGTGAAATGGCCTTAACCTTGGGCAATTAAGTAATATTAGTGGTGTGATAGGAAATTTTTGATTCATTGTGATTGACTATAAATAAAAGTAGAATGGTGAGAATGATCGATGCTAGTGAAATACAAGTTGTGATGATACTGGTGATGCACAAGTTGTAGTGATACTGCTGATAATGAAAATATATTGTACATACCAATTGTAATGAGACATAAATAATAAAGAGATTGGCAGTAATGAATGTGTATGACTTGATCAATTGTGCTGGTGAGAAGGCAGAACCTGCATGGGTGCATTCTGGTATATTGTGTGATATTGCCATGGTCTGGGTGAATGCCAGTATATTGCCACCTAGATGAAGTCCCATGCCATTTTGTGTTCAAAACTAAGGTCATGTACTCATCAACTCCAATCATAACTGGGAAAGTTGGTTTCAGCCCTGCTAGCTGGTCTTGAAACTATGTGCACACATATGTATTCATTTTTTCCCCTCATGAATTATATTGTTTGCACAAAAAATATGTTATTTCATCTAGAAACAGCCAGTGAATGTTTGTTTGAATTTGGTATGTTCACTCTGTGACTAGTGGAAGTGACATATAATTCACTGCAACCCTCGAAATTCGCCTCGGCACTCGGCAATTGCCGACGCAAATGCCGAGGCAAGTTACGATTTTTCATAGTTTGCCTCGGCAAAAAAAAATGCCGCGGCAATTCCACCCGTTGTACCTTAAATTACAAACTACAGCGTCTGTTCGTTTCAGGTTTTGCTTAAATTGACAAACTACAGTGTTCGTTTTTTGTATCACTTCTTTGTTCGAATTGTTGTCATCGACGTCGGGTGAACAGAAAATTTCATTCATAGCTACTTTACAAAATATTTTAATTTGAGCTTTTCATCGTCGGCTTCGGCTGAAATAAAGAACAACCTTGATGGTTTAAAGACGGCACGTCGAGAAACTTTGTTTTATCTAATAGACTGTCGCGTGATTACCGTCAAGTTTATTCTTTCTTACAATTTGTTGTTAATTACCACTAACTTTTTAAAAACATTTTGAAGTCAGGAACTGCCGACGTGAATGCCGAAGGGTGCCGAAGTAATTGCCGAAGGAATTTAAGGTGATTTCATTGCGTGCCTCGGCAAAAAAATTGCCGAGGCAAACTCAAAAATTATCAAAAGACTTCGGCAATTATTTGCCGAGGCAAAAATAGTTGAATTTCGAGGGTTGATTCATGCATAATATGGCGATCTTTTGTTTCGGGATGTAAAAAATGAAATTTACTTACTGATAAAATTCAGTGTAACCATATTTATTAAGCCTCTGTGTCTCTCTGTTAAGCCCTATCTCCATGGGAAAGAAGTAATTATAGTATTCTCAGCAAGTGGAATAATTGACCATCATTATGGAAATTATGAGCCAATGATATTTGAAAACACAGTATGATATGTCAATCTCGGTGCTCAACTATCAGTGTATTATTTGTAAAAAAGGGTAGCAGTCACAATGGTAACAATAACATTTGTGTGGTTAATCTGATTGAAGCAGAGAATTTAATCGCCTGATACAAGGCATGTTTTCTTGGGGTTGTAGCAAAGGTCTTTCATGAATTCTAAGACAGCCCAGTTGCTGATGTTGCCAATTGTATTGAACCAAAGCTATTAGACAGGGTACAATTACACCTTTTTTCTAAGATATTTATTATATACTACAGTATAAGACACAACTGACAAATGACGTATTTCAGAAAAGTATTTACCCTAAAATTATTAGTGTCTTGTTGCCATGACTAAAGTTATCAAATTTCATAAATCATGAACTAATGTAACTGCAAATGTAAACAAATAGGTGAATGCACACCCAGTACAGACTGTTATTTGCCTTTAGACTGCTAAGTCTGGTTTTTGCTTACATTTATATATCAGATTCCTAATAAATTTGTTACTTTATACATGTCCTTCAGGACTTCCTTCTATTATTTTTCATATTTCAAGATCACTGGATATTATTTCTCATGATGAGTACTCCCCCCCGCCATTACCCCCTTCTTCCAGACAATGAGAAACATCCCAAAAAATAAATATGAAATTAACTCACACACAAAGGTTCCAAGATACTGTATATAATTTCATTCACAACTGTATTTTAAACTACATACATACGGAAACCAACCTGTCACTGTCAAAATATTCTGCTTTGATAACTACATGAGTGCACATGAAGAATTTCGTTTCCATAGATGTCCCTTTCACTATACAGGCACAATACTGAGTATGTATTCTTCCATGAAAGTACAATAAATCCCAAGTGATATTCTTTGGTCAATACATGTACGTGAAAATTACTTATAATCATTATTAATCAACAATGTTTATTTAATTCTTTATAAAACGTCGCACACAAGCAGTTGTATGGATACAAAATAGACAGTTTATTTAATAAGACAGATCACTATCATCACTCGACCAGTTTTCTCTCAGTTCGATCCTCGATCTTTAATAAGTATTACTGTTCGCTATTCCACAATTTGTTGAAGAAAGCTCGTAGAATGCAATATACCCACTTTAAATCTCACTAGGAAAGTTTTATTTATCGTAAAATAATAAAACTCGAAAACGTCGCGCCTTCGCGCTGCCATGGCGCTGCCATGTTTGACAAAATCAATCGGCTCCGCTCCCCCCGGATTGAAAACTAAATTATTACGAAATGTCCAATATTTTTGGAGTCACATGACCAGTGTTTACCAGGGCCTTTGCTTCCCGTACCAGAGCCTCTGAACCGCGCAAAGGCCCTGGGTACGAGGTTGACATCTGCTCATGCCAAATTGTAAACATTTAAAAACATTGCTATTTAATTATTTAAGGTAATTGAAACAAACAAAAAAATACATTAGACGGGTAGTTTAGATATTAATAAAAAGTTTTCTAACATTACAGTAAAAATCTAAAAAGAAACAGAATTTAAATTAAAAATTACCGTTTAAATTAAGACCAGGCAGCGTGTAACATTTCTTGAAGAATTGTCGAATACCGAACTTATGAACCTAAGAAAAATATATTTGTATGGTTCAGTTAAAGAACCTTTTATACAATAAATTTATCGACAGTCACTTTTGGTTTATTTTCTTGCATAAACTACTTCTTGCATATGTATAGACTATATAATTATTTCTACTTTTTAGGTTGTCACGTTCATTATTCCGCTTGCATTTTCGGGCAAAACATCGAAGTCGCTTCTTGTCGCTTCCATTTTGAGTTTTTGACAACCATTTTGAGTTTTTGACAGTTTTTATTTTGCTCACTGTACATATATCTTTTTCTTATTTGTAGCATATGTAGAAGAAGGTCGCCTGTGGGTGCACACAAACTGCGAGGCAGCGAGGCAATGGCAAGCCCGCGAGGCATACGAGGCATGCGACTGATGCGAGGAAAGCTGCGAGGCATGTGAGGCAATCCCGCGAGTCCTGACGGGCCTTTTTTCTACTGCCCTATGGCCATTGGTTTCCCTTGGTTTGAATGTATTTCCAAATTACCCAGAAATTTGTTTATAAAACCTTATCGAGTTTGTATGAACGTAGTTTTTCAATTGACAGATGAACAACGCGCGAAAATAGTTAACTTTCCATAATTTTTAGACTTTAGTGAAGCTTGTCACTTGTTGAGCTATTGTCTATGTTAATGATATGTTTACTTTTTGACGTTTTGACTGGAGTGCTGTAGTTATTTAAAACTATAATGTATAGACAGAACTGTTATTAAAACTAAAATGTCGTTCACATTTGTCCGTTTGTCCAGCGTCAAGTTAAGTATGTTCAATATGTTAATTATCGTCAAATTCTGGAGTCAGTCATTGTGTCTGCCTCCCACTGGCACATCTGCTTGACTCGCACTTTTTTTCATGTCTCGCACTTTTTTTCATGCCTCGCACTTCTGCCTCGCATGCTTCGCACTTTTTTCATGCCTCGCATTGTGCCTCGCATCGTGCCTCGTATGCCTCGCTGCCTCGCACTATAGTACTCGTCACCTGTTTGTATAGTTTCGTAACAGGAGAGCTTAGTCTAGAAAAATGTCTAGCGTAAAGTGTAAACATATACATGCTCCAACTTATGTACTTTTATTGTATTTACCTAGCTTTAATTCTATTAGTTTACATATGCAGAGAAAGCATTAAACAAAAATGAAAAATTATAAGACTTCAAAAGCTTACAGACTGCAGACATATTAAATATACATTCTGTAACAACACGCGAATTGCTATAAATAGCAACGTTACAGTCTAGTATAATGATATGATGATTTGTTGTGCTTTTCATAGGCGTACCGGGCGGGGGGGCGGGGGGACAGCAGCCCCCCCAGTTTTTTGGGCAGTCGGGCAATATTCGATCAACAGTCGGAATAATTTTTCCGGAAAAAAATTTTTGGTACTAGTCGGGCAGAATCCCGAAAAGTCGGGCAATTTTCTTTCCGCCCCCCCCAATTTTTTCCTTCCGGTACGCCCATGGTGCTTTTGTTCTAAGTAGGCCTATCACTAAAATATATTAAAAATCCTTCTAAACGATTCTTTATAAAGTATACAAAGCATATACATTGATATCGAAACACAAATTTTGCACAATTTGAGCTTCGTGACTCTGGTGTAGACGTATGGGCCTAATGATTTAATTGTGTTACATTCCACTGGAAATCACCAAAATGAACTTTTTTAAAAGTGTCGCGTGAGGCTCCAAGGCAATAAGCCAAGCTAGTTTTTATATATAACGTGTACTCATGCTATACCATTCCGTGGATGAAATATAAACAAATTCACGATTATCGCACATAGTAAATTTCCCCTTCAAATCCAGTGACAAAATGCAATTGTAAAATTTGACTAAAAATAGCC